TCTGAAGATGTTTTCTAATTAATCTACCAGACGCATTTTCATTTCCTGAAAATGCAAATTCGTTTTCTTGTTTTCATTCTCAGAAAATATTCTCAGAAAACACTCTCCGAAAACGTTACCAAAATAATTGAAGTTAGATTAGAATTGGCTGAACTCTACGTAACTTTGAAATGGAGCAACTCAAACACAAAAGTTGTAAGCAATTGTTTTCCATTTGTCACAAAGTCGTTGCTTGCTTACTGGTCAGATCTTACTTCTTGGGGAAATTTCATCCGTATATACCTTCCTCCAAAGGAGCATATGCACCAATGGAAACTAGATTACATCTAGGGCAACCTATGAAGAATCTAGCTTAGGCTAACTTCAAGAAATTTAGGTTAGGTGACCATGCCATGATCTTTTTCTTCTTTGTTTTGGGTCACTGTGACCATGATGTGTTTGGTGTGGTCACTACAAATACTAGTGCGTTCAACAAAAAGAAGAGATAATGCTAAACAAAAGTAACCAAACTTTTTCTTAATTCAAGCAAATAAAAAAAGGAGATGTGATTGGATGGCAGAACAAAAGTAGGTGAAGCAAAGTTGACTTCAATTGATTAATGGGGTTAAAAACCCAGGTTCAAACATTTCCAATAGGAATGTAAAATGAAAATTCCAAAAGAAACGAAAAAAAAATAGTTCAAAATATATCCAAAAACAATCCTCATACTAGGGAGGAAAACTCCACTCTTAGCCAACCAAAGCTTCCGCCTCTTTATTTACTCTTTAGCTTTCCCTTCACTCCTCCTCGGCAAGAGGAACAGACTCAGCCTGCAAATTAACACAAATTAAGTTAGAAAATTAATGGTAAGGAAGAAAACTAATGGAAAGTAAGAAAATCATGAAACGGTACGGTGTTAGGCAAAGAAGTTTACCAGCTTGCGATACTTGAGGGCGTAGAACATCTCAAGATATCGACGGCTTTCAAGGCGATCAAGGTTAGAAACATGCTTCCAGAAGCCATAAACTCCGGTGAGAGTCAAGAGCCTTTCTGAGTAGATTTGCCATGTATACCTACACAAACAGAGGAGAGGTGTAAGAAAATTTAGAAGGCATATGACAATAAAATTATGTTGCTGCACAAGAGGGCTGTGCTTACTTCTCAAAAATACGCTGCAAGCCACCCTGAGAAATCTTGTCCCAGTGGCTAGGATCTGCCCTGCTTTTCTCAAAGAAGTCAACAAGGATCTCCGAAGCTTGATCACCATGATACGGATCAATGTGGTAGCCAGATTTGCCATGCACAATAATCTCAGCAGGGCCACCCTTGCAAGTAGCGAATGTTGGAAGTCCACAGGTCATGGCCTCAACAACAGTCAAGCCGAAGGCTTCATACACAGCAGGCTGCACAAAAGCTCCCTTGGTGTCAGCAATGACACGGTAGAGTTCACCGTTCCTCACGCGGTTCATCTGGGATGAAATCCATCTGAACTGCCCATTCAACTTGTAGGTGTCAATCAGCTCATGCATCTTCTTCATCTCAGCCTTCTCCTCATTGTCCTTGGACTCCTTTCGGCGGTCCCCGGCAACCACAACAAGGTTAACCAATTCCCTAAGCTTGGCATTTTTACCATACCACTCAACAAGTCCAGTAATGTTCTTCACACGGTCCAGCCTTGCCATTGTGAAGATGATTGGCTTGTTCCTGTCCTTCAACACACATCTGTTTGGCAACAAACAAACAGATTAGCATATGTTCAATTACAGAACAAGCAAAATATAATCAAGGCAAAGATGATGGAAGGAAACTTACAAGTGTTCCTTGTTCTCAACTTGGCTGTAAAGGAGCTCTTCAATTTCAGGGTGGAATGATGTCAGCCTCTTTTCCTTCTCAAAGTAAGGGAAGTAAATGCTCATGTCTGCTCCTGGTGAAACAATGTTGAACTTGGGATCGAAGACATCAATACCATGAACAACACGGTAAAGCCCAGGAAGAGTAAAAGCAGTGTGGCTCTCGTACTGGCCAACTGTGTCCTTGCTGCAAACATTTACAGAACATAAAATTAGGGTCCCAAAATATTTGACCATCGATACAAGAAATGTGAGGCAAGAGATATATTACCTTCCAGCAATCTCTTGGAAGGTACTGGTGATGATGAAATCAGTATGGTTCATGGCTATAAGATCAGCTGTAAATTGGGATGAGAAGTGATATTTGTCATCTAATTTCTTCCAGTAAAGGTCAGAATCAGGGTACTTTGTCTTCTCCAGGGCATGGGCAATGGTGCACTGCAAAACAACATCCAAAGAATGTGTTTAGTTAATAAAGACACAAAAATATACCCAGATGAAAAAGCCATCAAAGGGCATAACTAACTACATCTAGTGGTAATAATCACAAACCTGTGTAACACCCAATTTGTGTGCCATCCATGAGGCCACAATGTTCCCATCACTGTAGTTTCCGATGATGAGATCAGGCTTGCCGTGTAATTCCTTGGAAAGTTCCTGGATCGCATCCTGATAACAAAAAAAATTGGTATTTCTTAGAACCAAGTACAAGCAAAAACCAAAAATCAATGGAACATTTGTCACTCAAGAAACAAAATATGGCTGCTGACAGTATCAATAAAAAGTTCACCTCAGCATAAGTCTCTAGGTAG